GGCACAACAGGGCATAAACTTAGATTTAAGGACTGGAAGTCTCCCAAGTCCCACAGTATAAACATATTCTGTGATAGTCAAAGTGCTGCTGAGAGATGGAGCCAACAGCCCAAGTTTCAGCACACATTCTCTGGTGTTGGCTAAACTTTTGGGTTTCCAGATTTCAATATTTAAAGTGCTTGCACAGTCCATGCAAGTGCTTCAAGAGAGACCGATTGGTGAATGTGCTTGTATAAAAATAATTTGACTAAGAACAAAATAAGAGATATTGATTTGTTTGGTTTGTAATTGATTATACCCAAATATTTTCTAAAATGCAAGCTTCTTTATGTGATGAATTATTCTGTATATCTTTCTAACTAGTTGCTGGATAGACACCTTCTGTCTTAGAAATTAAATAAATAAGAAATGTGTACAATCAAAATACATACTTTGTAAATACATTTCAGACAGACAGTAACAGCAGAAGGTTCTCAGCAGCGTGCCAACTGCTGTCCAGCAGCATACTGCACAGCAGGCAGTGTGCTCCTGCAGCTGTGAGACTTCTCCACGCTTCAGTTTCCTGTAACTACTCCACCAGTATGGGTTGGTGGTTTTTTCCCCTCTACTTTCACTCTTCCAAATGACATAAAACCTTTGTCCCCTAAACCTTCCTACTAAGGTTATCTCAAGATTGAGCAATGGTATATAATGGTGTGAACCCATGAGTGTCAATACACATATTTTTCCTGAGCAGGGATTTGGCCAAGGATGACTGGTTACCTTGAAGCCCTTGGGCATGGATTTCCTTTCTGCAGAAACTGATGGGGAGCAGGCTATGGCTGGTGTGTGCACCTAAGTCTCAAAGCTTGGAAATTTAGATAACAGATCTGTTAATGGGACTGTCTCACTGTCTCTGCTAAAGACATTCAATAGAGGCAGATAGCCAAAAGCCACACTTCGACAAATCTTGTCTTTCTTTTCAAAACATAAAAAATTGAGAAGTCCTAAATGTATGAGGCATTTAAAAATATATTCCCATTTCTTGGATCGGTACAGCTAAGTCTTCTTGTCAGCTGCATTGCAGTGGCTGCTGAAATCAATTTCTCCCTCTTTCTTCCTTGATTTGCTCCCTCTGTCCGTAGCTCCCTCATCCTTTTCTTTTTTCTTCTAAAATTTTATAGTATTACTATTAAACTTAGCAGCTTAGAAACAATATATTAGCTTTAGAGCTGCCACCAATGTGTTTTGTTTATTTGTTGTTTTTTAAAAAGCAAAAATCTCCTGGCATTGTCTCATAAAAAACATTAACTGGAGACTTAAAGGAAAAGAAATGTGCCTGCATTGGTTCTGTGCAGTACTCCTGAAAGGGGTAATCCATCAGTCATGGAGGTGTTGTTAAACTGTGTAGCTTAAAATATTGCTCCTTTCCATAAGCAGAGTCCCTATATTACTGCTTTGACTCTGCAAGCTTTTCCCCGGCTGCTTTAAGTGAAGAATGTCCTTAATGAAGATGGGCCTTTTTTTTCCTCATTTCAGTAGTGTGTACTAACTACTCTCTTGGCCCCTGTCGGTGAACAACATATGACTCTTTGCACATAGTGTTTCATAACTGCTTTCTTTTAGCCAGAGCAAAACAAAGTCTGTTCGAATGCTCTGTTTCTCTGATTTAATGAAATAGAAAGTACTGCATATTATCAGAAATTTGAGTGTGTTTCAGGCCAGTCTCTGTGCTCTCCAAAAATTCTGTGCATTCTTACATGTGTTTCATCCTTCTTATACAACAGTTCAAATATCTGATTAAAAGCTAAGTGACCTACATGTCTGTTCAGATTCATTGCTTGCTATTTCTTCCACTTCACTGTTTCAGTTGCAAAGCTGAAGGACATCCGTGTCTAAATAGAGTATGCCGTGATGAACCCAAGTGGTTGCTTTTAAAAGCTGCTTTCCTTTTTATGTATGACAACCTAGAGAAGGGCTATGCCATTCAGCCATTTTTATGCTTACTGAGCAGTATATTGTTACAAAAGCACTGGTGAGAAGGCTGCACTGCTTTTTGCAGCCTCACATCTTGCTGCTTTAGGATATTGGCAGCGTAGTTGGGTCGTCCCAGTCCCTGGATGAATTATTCAGGCTCTTGACATCAGAAGTTTCTGCTAGTGGATTGGCTGGTGCTCGGATAATAAAATCTTTCGACAGGAAAACAGTGGAGAAGGATGATGGCAGTGAGACCAGCAGAACTGCTACTTCCAATACAGCTGGCTTTGTCTGGTTGTTGCATCTCTGCAAAAATATATAATAGTGTTTTTAAGGTTTGGCTTCACGTGAATTTTCTGATAAGAGCAAGTGGAGAGATTTGTGTAAGGGGCCTGCATTTCCAGTGAAGGAGAAAAACCTGATTGTTCTTTAAAAATTACTTCTGGCTGTATTCTAAAGAAACGCTGCGCACTACATGAGACAGGAGAAGCAGACACAGCAGCAACAGACGCAGCAGACACAGCAGCAGTACTTATGGCTCGCTACAAAGGTGGTGGTGGCAGAAATGTTACATCATTAAATCTGCTTCCTGGGTTCTTTCAGTACTGGCAGGGTAAGTGGTGCAAATAAGGAGATGACAGTCCTTGCAGGTGGGGAGAGCATAAGAAACTGTATGACACGTGTTTCGTGGGTATAGAAAAGAGTGCCTTTGCAGAGAATTTACATTAGTTCAGTGAAAATAACACATTTGCTTCCAGGGAAATTTGTAAAAAGCATGTTTATAATAGAAATTTCTAAATTTGTAAAATCAATGTATTACTTGTGTGTTATGTTACAATGGTAAAATTATTAGTAGTTGCTGTTGGGCTCATAAAGAATATATTGCTCACATATATTTCATTGAAACAAATAATTTTGAAAGGCTATTCCTGTTGACTATTGATATGACCGAAACTGAGTATGTCTTCTGCTGCTAAATGTTTAGAAGCTGGGAGCTGGTTGTCTAATTTCCAATTGTTGTCAGAAGGCTGTGTCTTAAATCACCAAAAATCATCGGAACTACAAATTAGGGAATAATTTTCACTCATTTCCTTGGTCGGAAGTTTGACTTTTGCAGGCCTGGTTCTTTTGGCATACTGTTGTGTCGGGATTGCTGGGGAATTTTAAGTTACAGAAGCGTGAGTGAAGTCAGAGGTGGACTGATTCTGTGTGCGCTTGATCCCCATCCCCAGACCTACTCACACACAACCCAATTCAAGTGTGCAAGTAATTCCATTGAAACTAATTGGGCTACCTGTATATGTTATTGCTTGTCAGAGCTCAGTAGACATTAACTTATGTCACAAGGGAAACATATTGTTCATGGTTAGAAACCATGCATCGAGAAGTCTGTTTTTCAGAATATAGGAATAATTGACATGTATAAAGTCAGGATGCTCCCTGCCAAAAATATTCAGTGTTGAATGAAACACAGTGAAGTATTTTGAGTGGTATTTTTCATAACTTGCCTGTCAGTGCAACAAGTAGATTCTGAGAATGTAATGAATGTTTTAAAAATGGTGTAAGACAGCCTGCCTCATGAAATCAAAGAAAACAAAAATAAAGAATGCAAAATTACTTTCTCGAGAGTATATGCATTTTTTTTCCTCTCGTATTTCTTATATATGTGATATTGTTTATATATAAAGAAAATATCCCCAAGTCATAATGCACATAGCTTTTTGGAAGCTCGTATGTGGTCAGGGAGCCATTATTGTCCCATTTAAGATAATATTTTAGTTGATGAATTGTGTGTGACAGTTTGCATCTTTATGTACCCTCACTGTGGAGCAGCACTGCGTGAGTAAATCAGGGATCTTATTATTAGTAGTGCATTAAACTTAGTAGCTATCTATACCAGAACCCTCAAGGGGATTAAAGGATATTCCCTTTTAATTTTACAGATGTGAAAGAGGTTAAATCACTATTCAGTGCTGCACAAGTCAGTAGCAAAGGCAGTTGCCAAAATTAGACTTTCCATCTATAGGGTTTGGAATATGCATGTGTTCTTATAAAAAGTAAATATTTAACAGCAATTTTATTTATTTTGATTTTCTGTAGGGAAAGGAAGGTGCTCATTCAGAACTGATGATGGTAATAACATGATTTGGTTTTCAGTGTCATAGGTATTTCCTTTCATTTTTGAAAGAAAAATCTCTAATGTAAATACCTGAATACCCCTGTTGTGAAATTATCCCATGTGTCAAAACTGATTCCCCACAAAAAAAGGGACAGGACTTCATGGATTGGTTATAATGCTGTGATTCTCTTCCCTCTGCAGCCATGACCCTGGCTGCTGAAGTTGGAGAAGCTCGTTCAGGAGCTATTTTTGTCTATGCAGCTGGCAACAGTTCCTGAGGGACTATCTGGGAATTGGTGAAATTCACTGTAAATCAGACAAGTGCTCCAGGACAGGACTAAGGGGGTAGTAAGCAGCAGTATAGAAACTGCCTGAACTGGCTAATGGCTTCTCCCTGGTAGGATTTCCCTGAGGACAAAAAGCTTGATAATGCAATTTCAAATCCTTAATTCAACATTCTAAATATTTTCAAATACACATGCTAAGAGTATTTTTCCTAAGCCCCTACCTGACTTTCTACATAAAAGCAACTTTACTGTTAGAGACATGGATTCTAGTTAAAAGGTACAGAGAAGTTCTAGGTGCTCAGAACTTGGGTAAATATAGTGTGAACTTAGAATTCAAATTTATTTTGGCATTCAGATTTGAAATGGTGCCTTACAGGTCATTGCCTCATTAAGACTTGCTGTGACTTGCTGTGAAATTCTTCAAATAGTCAAGTGTCAGAGCTTTATTGTAAGAATATGACATAGTTGTTATGTGTAGATCTGGGCAAAATTAACTGTCTCAAGAAAATATAGTGGCATTTCTGGCAAATGCAGAATGCATTTGTTGTTAATAGGGAATACTACTCTTTTACCATGCAGGTCCAAAAATATTCAGCAATGTCTAATCAAACTGATTTCCTTTTTTTCTCTTTTCTCAGATGAGCAAGAGTCAGTGCAGAAAAGGACTTTCACAAAGTGGATCAATACTCATCTGGCTAAGGTAATATATGGCTTTGAAATTTTTTTTAAAATCAAAGATTTTTGATCTATGCCTATGTAAGGCCTGGAGTATGGAATACGTCAGACTTGTCTGAGCAGAATGGCATAAACTTGAAATGGGATCCCCGTTATCTGTGCACTGTAAAAGATGAATCTGTTGCAGCATGATAGCGGTCAACTGCAGCAGTATGAGTGGTGTTTACGGGCAACCACCCAGCTGCTTTGGCCAAAACTGAAAAGTAACGCAGTAGGTGCTGTTTCAGCCAGAGAAAATATTTGAAACTGCTTTCTATGAAACAGAAATATCAGCCTTATTACAAACAGTGTGTTTGAATAAAACTTGAGTCAGTTGTGTAGTTTGTTAGAGTCATCCTGATCTGGTTGCAAACATAAATGGTGCTTCCAGTGATGAATTAATTACCTGATAAATCTTGGGGTTTATCATGAAACTATTTTTGCAACCTGAATCTCCCTTTTTTGGTTTTAGCGGAATAAAGACGGTGATTTACGCACAATTTTGAAAGTATTAAGCTGCAACCGGTACTAACTTTATCTAACATAAGCAGTGAGATTTAATTTGGCATTTCCCAGAGTTTTCACACAGCACAGCTCTAACTGTAGTTATCAATTAGTCCAGTAAATTAAAATATTTAAACACCAGAGGTGCTTTTTGAAATGCATATTTTAAATAATGAAGATTAATGAAATTGAAAATTGAACAAGGAATAGCTGCAGCAATACTGTTTTAGCTTCTGTGTAAGGAACTGCCTAATAATGCCTTCACAAATGAACAGAGCAAAGCAGAAAGCCCATATAATGCTATATCATGTGATTTGGTCTAATGAGACCGTATGGTAGAGCAACAGCGTTCATTTACATTAGTGAGGAATGTAATTGAGGAATTTGCTGTGAAATGAACTGCATTTGAACAAGGTTATCTTAAGGACTTGGTGACAGTGGATCCTCACTGTGAATGAGGTCTGTTCTCCCATTCTTTTTGAAATCATATGGAAAAGTTCCCCATGCAGCAGAGAACTTAAGCACTCTGTATGTTGCATTTGCTTCAACTGAGATGGAAAGACATTCAGTATTTGCTAAAGCGTTAGCAAAACAGGCTGTGAATGTGTGTCTGAGGAGAAAAAGAACTCTTATTTCATGTTCTTATATTCCCTAATTTTCTTATGTCATTAATAATTGATCAGTAGTATCTGATAATAATTGACAAGTAGATACATGTACATATTTTTGGGTATATGCATGTGTGTGTGTGCATGTAACAATAATTTGCTAGTAATAACTGACTAATCCTTGGGAAGAGACAAAATCATGGTGGCACCTCTGATAAGAGATTTTGCTCTGGATTGAGAGTTGTGAATGCTACCTACTGGACTAGTCCCTCTTGAGCCATGAGAGCTCAGGTAGATGTTTAGAATTGTGTAACCTAGGCATATGTTTTTTTAACAGGTCTGATATTGTAAAGACTAATGAAATACATTAAAACTAAGCAGTTAACCAGCCACTGCCCTCACTTTTAGCTTCCTGAGGTACCCTGTAGTAATTGGTTGGTGTTAATTCACCCTTAAACAGGAAAGTATTTTCTAATGTATTTTTATTGATGTCTGTCAGCACGTTTTCCTCACTGCCTAAGTCAAATGTATAGATTAGCTGGCTTTGCTTCCCATTTATGCTGTTACACTGCCACAGGAGAAACATTGTTCATAGATTATTGAGATTAAACTCAACAAAAGAGGAGTGACCCATAACATTCAAACTTTGAGCAGTTTTTAAAGCCTCAACTTTGAAATCTTTGTCAGTCATATTTTTGTAAATGTGGAAATATGTTTTCTGAGTTCATTCCAGCTGCAGGAAATACTGATGGGTCTTTGGAATGTGCAGCTCTCCCCTTGCACTCGTGTTCTGAATTATAACCCACGAATCCAATGTTCAGGTTATTGGTAACGGACTACCTGCAAGCCCCATTCCCCATCCCTCTGCACCACTATGGGGTAGAGGAGCTGGGAGTAAAGGAGTGAAGTTTAGCCTAGGAAAAAAGGATTTAGCTGTGGGGAAGGTGGTTTGAATTTTGTCTTTGTTTCTCACCATCAATCCAGAATCACTGTGCTGAATTTGACTCAATATATATAGGCTTCAAAATTAACAGTGACTTCACGTCAAATTTGCTCTCAATTTCTTGGCTACTTTAGCAAAATTTGGGGTTTTTTGCCTTTCATTTTTTGAGGAAAGTATAATAGTTGCTGTTTTTACTAATCTAGAAAAATTATTGATGGAAGAAGTAATAAGAGGAAAAAAGAAAAAAACTAAAACCTATAATAAAGTATCTCTAACTCTAACGCTGTCACTGTTATCAATACCATGGAGAAATGTTCTAGCATGGGTGAGTCTGAATGTTTTTCAAAAAGTACTGGTGAGTACCTGCATGAAACCTCAAAACCAGGAGAAATTAATCTTTTCTAAGCAAAGAGCGATGGGGTTTAACTATAGAAATTTGAAAAGTGGATTTACTGATGGCAAAGGAAAGGAAAGTCTAGTAAGGTAGAGTTTTCTTTCTTAATGCCATGTTGTTTGAGTAGAGTGAAGGAGGATTAAAAATGGAGTGGTTACTGACACTGTGGAGGGTAGTGATTTGAAAGAAATGGAAATGAAGAATTGATTTGATTATCTCAAAACCGAGAACACCTGAGAAACCAAGTTTGGGAGTATAAAGCAGGATGTGATAGTTTGCCAGGGTTTGCTATGAGTGAAGATTCTTCACTGGTAATATTTAAAATCTTAGTATAGGCTTTTCTTCTAAAAAGTCATGCTCTAATTGAAACAGAAACTAATTCAATAACTAAGTCCATCAAGTAGATTGAAAAAATAACTTTCGGCTTTTTAACTGTAAAGTCAAGAATGAGTTTGAAAATATGGATACAAATAAATAAGAACGAACAAAACAAGTAAATGAAATGGGAGTATCTGAGATTACTTCACTAAAAGGGTTGTCAGTCATGGAACAGGCTGCCCAGGGAAGTGGTTGAGTCCGCATCCCTGGAGGTATCTAAAAGATGTGTAGATGCGGTATTTAGGGACATGGTATAGTGGTAGACTTGGCAGTGTTAGGTTGATGGTTGGACTTGAGAATCTTAAAGGTCTTTTCCAACCTAAACAATTCTTTGTTTCTATGAATTGAACTTCATTAAAGGGAATAGGAGGGAGATATGATTTTTTTTATTCTCTGTAGGTCTTACAATGGAATGAATGCCACCTTTTTAAAAGTATGTTCACTAATTCAAAGATACATTCTTTCAAAAGCAGAATACAGGTAAAGGACGTGGCATCAGTTAATTGTGGAACACCTCAAAGAAAGACTGAAGTAAAACAACCCTAAGCACAGGCTGTGCCCTCACCCACAGGGCAATATCCTACACGGGATGAACCCAGAGGAAAAAGCTGCAAGTATGATAACTATCAAGTATAATGCAGCTTCATTTTAGTTCAGCAGTTAGTACTAGGCTGCATCTGTCCCTCTGCTCTCTGTCACCCTCGCCCCAGCTGAATCCAGTCTGTGATTCTGAGTCAGGAATCCGGTGAGACTCAGCAAGTGGAAATCATCTCTTTTCTCTGCAACCCTCTTGGAGAAATTGGGTCACAATCTATCAAACAAATGTGATATTTCTTCTGGCCCTTCAGTTTAATTTCTGTGCATCTGTGCAGTTTTACTAATGATAAATGAGATATGCATGTGTAACAGGACAAGAAGTTTTCTAATAGCATGTTATTTATTCATATTTCTCTTAAGATTGTACAACTGGACCTTCTTCCTCTCAGTCTCAGCCTTCAAAGACATAGAAATAATTTAAGTATGCTTCTGAGTATCTTTTGTGACATCTTTTAAAAGTCTAAGTTTAAAATACAGAATACAGTTACACCAAATATTTCAAAAAGGAGACATTACATCCATTCAGAACAGCAGTTACTTAAATATTTTTCATTTCATTACCTATGCTCATTTTTTAGACAGGGTACTAGATGAATAAAGAAAGACACACCTCTCTAAATCAACCAAAGCATATGCCTTTTATTGCCTCTCTCATCTTAGGTGAAAGTTTTGGGAAACAGCAGTTTCAAAGCTCCGGACTACAGACTTAATTTTGCTTATTCCAATTAAATACCATCTTTGCTGCCAGGTATAGAGGTAACTTCAATATTTGTACTTACTAAAGTATTGTTGTAAACTCAACAAATAGTGAACAACAAGTATATACTGACAGAAATTATGATTCTTTTTGTATTTCTATTAAATGTATGAACACGTCAGCAAACAAAAGCAGAGGATGGATATCAGTTAAATAAAAATAAAACTGAGAATTGGTGAACATTTTTAAGTATAGTTATGCAATGTTTTCATAATGCTGAATTAAACCTGGGCAGTAAACCTTACTTTCAGGCTTTTGAAATTGCAAAACAGTGTGGTTTATAGCAAAGAAAGGAGAACAAATGATTATATCAAGATTTATCAAGATTTACAGCTCACACGCAATGCTGTCAGCAATGGTCATTTTTACTTAGAATGTAACTTGGTCTTCATACAAGACCCTCGTCGATTTTCATCAATGCATTAAGTAATTCTGTATCTTTCTGTCTTTTTCAAATGGGAAAGCTGAGACTCCCAGTATCTTAATCACAGACCCAGAAAATGTTGAAACTAATGTCCATCTAGACTGCATGATGAGGAGAATCTGACTGACAGTGTTCTGCTCCAACAGTCTCTGTGTATTTTCACTAGTATTGCATGTAACCTCTGGTATTAAACAGTGAATGCTAAATTTATTTCTGTGACAAAACTAATCATGTAAAACTTAGGGCTGAGTCCTTCAGACTTCAGTCATAAAAATGGTTATTAACATCAAGGAACATGAAAACTTGTGTGGTTAAGGATTTAGGATTCATGTTGGGGTAGGCCAGCCATTACATAATACCTCTGAAATTTTGCATTCTTCTTCCTGTTACTGCATGTATTTACCTGCAGAAACAAAGTCAGCAGGTATACAGTTTTGTTCCTGTTTGTTCATGTGGGTAGGTTTTCACACATTTTTACAGCAGTTTTTGAAATATTTGAATATTAGTGTAGCAAAGGTAGTTTCTGACATTTCCATTGGCTTTCATTGTAATTGCAGATATTGTTGTTTGTACAGTATATAGTATACTTCTCTAATTTATTCATTAGAGAAGTACAGTGTGTGAGAAAAAGGCTTTTGAGAAATGAATGCAAGAAAAAGTGTTGTAGAGTGAAGCTTAGCAATTATGCATTGGTTCCATATCTGAGGCTTAGATGTTACAGAAACAAGATGTTTACGCAAAGCATTTCCTCATCACTTTCCATTTGTGATCAATTCTAAATAGTTATTTAAATAAATATTTAATATGGGGAAAGATCTGGTTCATTAACCTTTAAGAGTCATTCCCAATTAGTTCCTGTTCCTCCCACAGAGCACATGAATTTACTTGTACTGAGTGTGCCTCCCTCTTTGTGACATGAATGTTTTTAAATGTCATTGTCACTATAAACTGCACTACTGTGACTGCATATACCACAGTAAATGAGTATTTAATAGAATCCATGCAATGCAGTATGTAACATGTAATTAGTATTATTTTCATAGAATCATAGAATGGTTTAAGTCAGAAGGGACCAGGTCCCAGCCCCCCCAGCCCCTGACAGGGACATCTTCCACTAGACCAGGTTTCTCAAAGCCTCATCCAACCTGCCTACTTTGCTGTTTTGCATTCGTGAAGAAGCTTATGTAAAGAAACCCCAGAATCAAATACTAAGACATCTGAAATCTTAATGTAGACCTGACAAGTTGTAGATTTAATGTCCAATATTTCATTGATATTCTGAGTTCCCTCAAAGAATTTTGTTCAAGAAGTTTATAAATAACAGCTTTCGTTAGTATTATAGGGTTTTAAGAGGTTACTTCATATACTCTTTAAAAGCTATTTTACTCTGGTTTAAAATTTACTTCATTAAATTCTCCACACAGGCTTTCCAACAAAAATAGAATGTATTAGGATAATTGCAGTTGATTGCATTGCTAGAGCTATACATTTACATGCAAAAAGCCAAAATCGGGAGTACATTCAACATTTTCAAGATTACAGATTCTTAAATTAGTTTTCTTTCCCTGCTTTTACTGATTTACAGATAGTATTTTGGCAGTGCATTAAGGCAGCCAAGTGAATAGGTGTTAAGTCCTGTTGAGTCTCAAGAATAAGAAGTATTCAATAGATTTTAACTGAATACAGCTTTAAACACCTCCTTTCTTCTCTAGAGGCTAAGTAAGCACCATACAGCTTCACTTTCTCCTTTCATTTAAATTGACATTGTATATGCAGCCAAGGAGTAGGTATTTATCCATTCCAAACAGAGAATGTTGTGTTAATCTCAGTAGAGGGTCTGCCTGGAGAAAAAGTCAAATACCTTGAGCCATCCTGTGTGATGGTGCATATACAATAAATCAGAGTGTATGAACTTTTCAGTATCAGCTAGTGTATGTATCTTCCTGAACTGTATGATCATGAGGAATAAAATTTATATCTATGGAATCCTTACATAAAAGTAGAATCTGTTCTTCTGTACATGCCACTAAAAATATGACTCATGCCATACTTCTGAGGGAGGTTGGAGTCATAATAATAATAGGGTAAATTCTATGCTGTGTGCCCAGAGTAGTAAAAAAAAAAAAAAGTAATTTATGAAACGCAGTGAGGATCTTACTTCCTTGTAATTAGGTGTTAACATCTTCAGGGTGGTGAAAAACATTGTACTATAAAGCATATTATAGAGAACATTTCGAAAGTTTGCATAATTAACTGATTTTCCATATTAGAGGAGTCTTATACAGGAGATCTTGTGACAGAGCTGTTATACCTGCCTTCTGTTCCTGTTTTATTGGTGTACATGGTTTGTGCTATTAAACACTGGCAATGTTGATAAATACGCAACCTTCTAGCAACAAAATGTATGTTTCAGCCTACTGATATGTGGACAATTGTGATTCTCACAAGTCAGAGCAGCAGGTCTTATTAAAGTTTGTATAAGTCTTTTCACAGTTCTGTTGCTGCTTTGTAGCTTACTTAATATTTTCTCATACTTCCCCTAGGTTTCCCCAAACCAATATTTGATTTATGTCAAAAGGAAAGTACTGTAGGTGTTAATTTAGTTGGATGATGTTTTCAGGGATACTTTCGCAGCCTTACAATAGTACCATGCCTCAGTTAGGGTAAAAATCCAGTTTTGTAACTTGTCAATGAGATGTGACCAGTGAAGGGTGGTTCAGAGGAAGAACTAGACATGGGTAATTAGAGGTTTTTTCCATAATGTGAAGCTATACACTATGGAAACCAGAGGTGCTTCCCAGACTTGATTGGCATATGAATTCCAAATGATTTTTGGCCAACATTAGTTGGCATGAGGCAAATGCTGGCCTGTACCCTGCTTTGAGAGTAAGGATACCAAACTGCTCAAACTGGAAGGGAGCTGTGTTATGCTCAAAGCACATCATCTCTAACAGGCACGTTATGGGCACCAGGGTTACGGGGCACTGTAAATCTCACCCTTCAATTTACTGTATCCTAACTTGCCCTCTATAAGAACCTGTCTCTTTTCATTACTGTAGAGTAAATTTCAAGAGACAAACCTCACTACCGGGGCATTTAATAGGTGGTGAGTTTTAGGTCTGCACCTCCTGTTGGATTAGGATGGCAGCTGCTGTAATCCTCTTGTTTTTATTGCTGAATTATTTTAGCACAAAATTCTTCAGTATTATGTTATGTGGTAGTACTGATAAAACCAAAGCTGCTCTGAACTTCGAACAGGAAATGATAACACAGAAGGTGAGGAAAATTTATTGCACTTATGTCAACTGGTTGTGATGCAAGACTGGGATAAATGACTCTCCAGTGACCTGTTTGCTCCATTGTCTTCTTTAGTGTTACAGTAAGGATGAATATGATCCATTATCTATTGCATAGCTAGGAAATAAAAAAGGACTATGATTAAATATACCTTCATAATGAGTTGTAATGCTGCTTTATTTTATATACAAGAGAAAATAGACTCTTTTATTCTTGTGGCTATTAGAGCACATCAAATCTCAGTTGAAGTCTGCTTTCAGCAGAGGAGTTATTTTTTCAGTTTATGCCGAAATAATGTCTCCTTGAAATGTTAGTTCTTCCAAGTTGAACAATGAAGCCAGAATGTTTTGATTTTGGGAACTAGAAAACTTTGCATTCTCCTGATTTGTTAAAGTGTTTTTACCTTTTCAGGAGCAGTGTTTCTTTTGTTAGGTTCATCTTTTTTAAATCTATGTTTCTAGAGAACTGAAACAATAGATCAAGTTGTTGTACAACCATCTTTTATTTCAGAAGTACCCTGAAAGTAAATTATTAAATCTAAAGTAATTTCAGTAATTTTGTAGTCTGATTATAATTTTAGGGAATTAGGTATGAATGTTAGTATTTTGTTCATTAGCGGGTATATGAATGCTAACAATCTCATGGGAGCTAGAGGGTGTTTATTTCATTTATTTCAGGTGGAACAAATTTAAACTTTTTGTTTCTGACAGATACTTTGTGATCATTAAAGTACTGACCAGCCAAGAGCCACAAACTGGGATATATTGTAGAAGATATAATTTAATGATGTGACCTTGTTACTCAAAATTCCTAAAACATCATCTGTTAACATATTTTTCAGTGTTATCGATGCTGTGTTTGTGAATGTAAAGACATATGCTAAGCAATTTGTCTTAGTAGAAGCTGACACAGTGCTAACAGTACTGGAAGCCTGCAAGGCCTGGAGGAGAGGAGAGAAAATACAGCAACTTTGTTTAACAACCATCAGCTGTGAGAAAGTAGCATTGTGCAACCAGCTACACTGCTTTAGGAATCTTCTTTCGTACAGCTCCTTGTACTGCTCAGACAGAGAGGGAAATTTCTGTGACGCTAGGCAAAATATGCTGATAGATTGAAAAGTGAAATGCACGCCTATAAGTTGTGTGTATTTAATTGACTCATAGGCAGTTGTTGGGGTGTTTCTTTTGCTATTTTTAGGGAGATGTTTTTTTTCCCATTGTATCATTAGTGGCAGAAAGCTTCTAGTGTTACAGTTCTGTGCCAGAAATGTTAGATAGTTAAACAATATGGTGGCAAAGCAGCAGCTGAATGACATGTTGATATTAAACATTATAAAACATAAAGAAGGGGAACAGCCATTCTTTGTGCTTCTTTTCAAAGGGAAGGAAGGGAAGCAGGATGTAATGCTGGTGGGCCTTTATAATATCTGAAGTCTTCTTCCTTTCAGCGTAATCCTCCCATGCTGGTGAATGATCTGTTTGAAGATATCAAAGATGGGGTAATGCTTATTGCCCTTTTGGAGGTTCTTTCAGGGCAGAAGCTGGTAAGAACTTCCTTCTGCATATACAAGATAGTTACATAACTTCTCTAGGATATGGTATTCTAATATGTTTCTAGATTCAAATACCATAAAAAAAAAACCTTGCTGCTACATAGCAAAGCAAGTTTATTCACAGAGTGGGCTATCTGGTTACAAAATAAACAAACAAACAAGATTATTACAGACTGACAGTCTTGATACTTTGTGTTTTCTGTTTAATTTGTCTTAGTAGTTCTTAAAAATTGCTTATTTGTATTAGTCTTTGTAGTTCATCTGGGCATTATTTTGTGACACATACAAAGTCTAAACTGCAAGCTATTTCTATACATCTTGAAGAAATAATGACAGTCTTTTCTCATTAAATTTATGGCTATTTCTTGGCGGGGGGGGGGGGGG